AATAGAAGCCAGAGGAATTTTATGATTCCTGAACCAAAACCTTCCCACATCTGAGAACTAAATGGAAGTAAAATACAAAGCATCTCACAGAAAAAGAAACTCAGTCATCTGCTCTCTGATCTAAGGGAAGTATTCAAGTGATTAATTGACCGACCTAATGTGTCTGTTTTTTATAACACTGGTTCATATCCTGATAGGCATTTCACAGATCAAGACCAGTGCTAGCTGTTATGGACATAAATGTATTTAGCATTTTCCTATTGAACTCTCTTTTCAATACAGAACATCTGGCTGGCTCCTGTTCTTAGCTTGGAAATACATTCCCCCACTTCAAGTTTTACTTGTATTTCAGGTCATGTCTCTGTTCTGGCATGAGACAATCCAAGTCTAAAGGAAGGAGCACTGGAGTCCAAGACCTCTGGGTTCTCATGGTGCCACTCAGCCATAAAGTTATGTATGCCCCCATTATCACACACACAGGAGCCTGCTTTGTTTTTCCAGTCTGTAAATTGGGAGAGTTGACTCATCTACTTCAAGAATTCAGTCAAATAATTGCTTTATTTTCCTCAAAATGATGGCTGAAAAGTGCGATGGCATGGAGATTCTTGCATTGTGTGTGCTTCACAATTCCCTTCACCAGAGGGGAAATGTGAAGTAGTTCCAATAAGCTAAACAGAACAAAATTTTTGCCTGAAATCCTACAATACATCTCCTCTTAGGTCCAGGTTAGAAGGAAAAAAAAACCAGACCAGATATTATTAGGATATTTAAGCACCAGGATATCAATGGCAAACAGAACACTGTTTATTTGCAAGGTGCTAGATATTTATCTTACTTGTAGGATAACATTAATAGCTAAGTAACATTACCTGTTAGGGACTATTTCTATAATTCCCCCAACAATCTTACTTGGCAGGTATTGTTACTTAATTACAAAGAAAATTGAAGCTCAGACAAGTTAGGTATGTTGCATCAAGGCCACACAGCTGGCAGGGTTTGGGGAGCCAGAGGTCTGTACCTAGGCAGTCTAGCATCCAAGTAGACTTTTAACCACCTGTAATATCAAGGGTTAAGAATCTCTGCTTACCACAATTGGAGACAGGCTACGGCAGTAACACAATTTCTGCATACTTACTAAATGAAGTCTAACAGAGTAGACAGATGTGAACCAAGACTGACCAATACCTGTTACAAAGTCACAAGTGTTCACAATGTGATCAGCCCAATGCCCTGTTGGCACCAGAAAGCAAGACCCACTTTGTGCTGCTAGCACTGAACCTGGGAACAATCTACAGCTTGCTTCTTCAGGAAGTCTATTCCGTTATCCCCCATGAAATTTTACAAGCACCCTGGGAGACAACAGGGATTCCCTCCTCAGTCAGAGGCAGCCTAACACAGTGGTTAGGGGGTACCTGGAACCAGAAGGCTTAGATTTAAATCCTAGTTCTATACCTTATTTGCTGTGTGACCCTGGGTCAGTTACTAACTCTCTCTGTGCCCCAGTTTCCTTATCAATCAAATGGAAATGAGAATGCAAGTATCCACTTCCTATGGTTAAAGATTAAATAAATTAATGCATGCAAAGTGCTTAAAAGGCTATGTGACTCTTAGTAAGTACTCCATAATGGTTAATTACTCCTATTTTTATTAATAAGAGAGGTAATTTGCCAAAGATCACAAAGTCAGAAAGAATCTAGATTCAATCCTGGCCTTCTAATTCTAAATACCGTCTTCTCTCCTTAGCATAATTCTAAGCTATTACTAAAAGTTACCATTCTCCTTAAGTTCTGCTATTGCCAAGGTGCCCAATGAGTTATTTTTCTCCACAAAATTTCTCAAAGACCCACAAGGTAGATAATATGTCCCTGTTTTGCAAATTATGAAACTGAGGTTCTGAGAGGTCAAGTGATTTATCCTCAATCACTTAACCAGTGAACATTCTTTGTCACAGTAAGCCCTAAATAACATTTAAAGTTCTTGACAACAGCCTTCAATTTATGCAATTTTTAAAATGCCATATAAAAGATATAAACTGTGAATTTCTTGCATTGTTAGCTTTATTAGTTTGAGAGGATTAAATCCCAGCACAAACAAAATGTATGACTTGAGTGAGTTATCAAAATGAAATGCTCCCACAATTAGATTCTTCATCTGCCTGCAGGGTGGCTCCAGGCATCCAGAATCCACCACTTGCAATATTTAAGATGAATACTATCAGGTACCAAGCCAAACACCCACCCATTTAAGAAAAATTACTTTGGAGGGCAAAGGGGATCGGAGAAGCATATTCCTCTCTGGCTTTGGGAGGAGAAAATGAACAATAAGTGATACCATCTCCTCCTGGCAGCCTCACACAATTGTATGTCTTGCAAATGAAACATACTGTGAAACAGCTTGTGAGATGAGCTTCATCAACAATAAGTAATTTTTATTCAGATTTTATTGTTGAATACAATGAACATGATTAAATGATTCAGATATGCCTATTCAGACCTTAAGCAAACCACAAAAAAAAAAGCCTACTAAAAATCATCTTCTAAATCCGCTTTAGGAAGAGATATAATTGCCAACTTGATGTGTAGAAGAACTGAGTTCTCACTTGATAATGGCACCGGCATCTTCCCAAGAAGATAGTACCAACACATTTGCACTTCCCACCTCGGCCTCTTCTCTCATCCCTGCCAACCCTCTCAGCATTGCCAAATAGTTACAATGTCAGTCTTTCAAATCACTGCATTTTGAACTTCCTAAACCTTTAAGAGGGCCTCTGTGTACGGAAAAGAACAATAGCGCTTCAAAAGCCCTGGTCTGCGAGTCCTTCAATACTCCATTTAAATGCTGGGGTTTCAATCAAGGACATCAGCAGACACTTTCTGATTGCTTAGAAGTTGACTTTTATACAGCTTTGATTAGGTCCCCCTTCTCAACAGGAAATCAAGAAAATCTTTGATCCCTTTCAGATTCCACAATTGTCACCAAGCTCGTCAGGCTGGGAAGTGAAAGAGATTGGGAGAAGGGGGGAGGTTTGCTCTGGAGCTTCCCTACTCCAGCCAACCTCTCCTCCCGCCGCCCCACATCTATTTTCTTCCGTGTGCAATTCAGGGTTCCATCCAGAATCACTCATCGTTGAGATAATAAAAACAATGGGTGCTAATTCAGGGGGTGGGGATAGTTTATAATTTTATGGATTTCCCGAATACCTATAATTGGCACATAAATGTACAAACGTGAACCGGATAATTAGGGGGTTCTGAATATAAGCCACCTTTAATTTATATGATTACTTGAAAACATGTTAAGTGTTATGAAGTGTCAGCGGAACCCCCACAAGGCCTTTATTCAAAACCATCAACATTGTGAAAGTATGCCGAATGGGCCAGCAGGAGGGGAGCAGAAGGGAGGGAGAAGAGACCGCGGATCCTCGCTCCAGTCCCCGTCGACTCGCCAGGAGTTGCCTTGCGGCATCCATCTGGGAGGACTCGCCCGCCAGCCCAGCTCCTTGGGCAGCAAAAGGCGCACTCGCTTCCGCAAGCTCTGCAGTCACCCCTCTTCCTAAAAGAGCTAAGCCCCAGCGTGCGCCGGCACCCAAACGAACACTCAGGCGACGACCCACGCTTCACGCCCCCGCCGCGGGAGACACCCGCCCGAGCGCACGGGCGCCCGCGCCGCGGCGCTCTCCGCTCCGCCCGCCGCCGAGCCCGCAGCAAGCCCGAGCTCGGTCTCCAGGCGCCCACGCCTCCCCACCCCCACCCATTCCTTCAGACTCTCCCAGCCCAGGCGGAAGTGCCCGGGCAGACCCCCAACAATGAGGACTTGTGTGATGCAGTTGGGGGTGGAAGGTAGTTCACAGGGAGTGAAACGTACACGGTCTGGCGGGTCCAGGAGGAGGTCAACGCAGAAGCCAAGTGGCACCAGCCTCGCCACGCAGCTCTCCCTCGGGTCCATCACTCTCCCGCTGACCCCTGACCCGTCCCGTCCACAACCACCACCACCGAAAAAGAAAAAGGAGCTTAAAAAGTGCAGAGAAACGACGCGCCCTCCCACCAGGGGTCACAATAATACTCCGCGGGACGGAGCTGGCGGCGGAAGGAGAGTCCCAGCTGCAGCCACCGCCGTCGTTCTGCAATTTACTTCGCACACTATCCAACTGCCCCTTTCCATCGCCGCGATACAACCTCCCCCATTTCTACTTCCCCGACTCCGCATACTCTCGGCGGTTGAGTCCTTTTTATAAAGCTTCGTTATGAGCCAAACCACGGAGATTTCAAAGTTTCCCCGGTAGGAGGGGAAAAAAAACCCTGAGCTCTGCACCCGAGTCAGAGCATCAAGTCTGAAGCAGAGAGAAGCAAGAGGAGCGGGCTGGGGAGGAGAGCTCTCGGGGAGCGGGGGGCCTGGGGAGTGGAATGGAGGTGCGGCAGAGAACCGAGTCGAGGCAGGACCGGGGCAGGGCTGGAGTCTGAGGAGACGCGGGTTCAGCTCTGACAGTGTCTGCGAAAGGGTAGGGGTTACTAGGATAGAGTCGGTCTTTCGACAGGCCGGGGCAGAGTAGTAGGGAAGGGAGTCCGTCCCCGGGACGCCGCTGGCGAGGTTTTGGAGTGGGAGAAGGGAGGCTCGCGACAGCAAAGAGCCCGGACCGCAGGACGGAGGAGGGCGCAGGAGGTCCCGGAGAGAGATGAGGGTTTGGGGTGAGCACGTCTGGAGAGGGGATCGTGCATGGTCCCAAGGAGGGAAATTGGGGGTGGTGGGGGAGAGCCAGAGGAAGGAGCAGAGCTCGCTCCTTTCCCCATAGCAGGTGGAGGGAGCGAGCAGAAACCTGCAGTCGCCATCCCCGCGGCGCCCAGAGCCAAACTCCCGAAAAGGCGTCCAGGGCCCCTTCTTCACGTCCGGGGCCCCAGCGGAGCCACCCAGGCGTCCGCCCGCCGTGTCCCCACAAGGCACCTGCCCGCGCAGGACCTAGGGCCGCCGCGTGCACCCCTCCTTCCCCCAGCCCCACTCCTCACCGCAACTCGCCGAGGGCATCCTCCTCCGCTACTGCAGCCGCCCAGGAAGCGGCTCCCCATGCCCGGCGGGCGGCGGCACTCAGGCGCGCTCTCCAGCCCGGGGAAGCCCGGGCGAGCGCCGAGCAGGGTCCATCCTCCCCGGGAGCCACGGGCCCGCGTCAGCGCGGGGGGAGGAGACCGCCCCACGCGCAGCCCGCCTCCTCCCACCGCCCCCGCCCCGCCGGGCCCCGCGCCCGCCCGGCGCCGCTCACCTGCTCGCTGCATGGCCGCTGCCGCCCGCGGCGCTCCTCACCCTGGCCCCGCGGCTCCCGCCCGCGTTCCCCCCCCGGGCGCTCTCTGCGCCTCCCAAGCGCGCTCCGAGAGCTTAGCCGAGTCGCGGTGGCGACGAGAACCAGGAGGAAGGAGCCAGCGAGCAAGCGGAGGCGCTGCGGTTCGCAGTCGCTTCTTCGGAGCTCTTGCCCTCAATCCCCATCCCGGCCTAGACCGGCGAGTCGAGAGGGGAGCACAGGGTCTCCGCCCCAGCTCGCGGGCGGGGAGGGGTGATGGAGAGAAGGGAGGAAAGCTACCAGACTCGAGTTTCACAAAGTACCCGGTGTTTTGGTCACCTCACCACCAACAGAAGCAGCCCCTCACCCGGCCTCCCTTTTTCCCCTAGGGTCCACTCTTTCATCCAAGCCTTTAAACACACGCACACCCAAAAATAAAATGCCAGAGGGCGTAAACAAGAGCCGGGCTTCCGCAAGGGCCTGTTGCCCCGACGCCCCTTTGCAGGAGGGGGCGCTAGCACCCAGTGGCCAACCCTGCCTCGGAGGCTCTTGTCTCCATTGAGGCTTCCCAGGCAAAATTGGACGTTATCTGTTACGTTTTCGTCAATCTACGGAGGAATTCCTGCCCTTGACGGTATGCAGGCCCCAGATAATCCCCTACTCCCCCTTCCCATCCACCCCTACCACTCACATTCTTAGAATGCTCAGGAGCAGATAATCCTCAAATTAGAACATGCATGGGAGAAGGTCCCAGACAGGACACAGTCAGTTGCTCTTTCCTTCTGGTCCGAGTGTGCAAAGATATGCCAAAATGCACAAAATGTTGTGTTGGTCTGAAAATTCTTCTACCCTGAGACTGGATTCTACTCTAGTAAATGCCTGCTGTGCTATAACCGGTTTCCAGAGGCCAGAATGCCAGGTGTGGGAGGAAAAAACAAAAATCAAATTAAGAGCTGCCCCATTGGAGCAGGGAACAGAAAAGGGAAGGCAAGCAGGCAATAGTTTCTTTAAAAGTTTATTTTTATTCTTTTTTAGGGGCCACAGTCCGTCCTCCAGCTGTGTAATAATAAAGCTAATGTGGCAGATGTGGGTTTTGTTTTTTCCCCTCATAGCTTCTGTCACTCACCCATGAAAATTTAATGAAGCATTTAGGGTTATTACCCCCAGAGTCAATGGGCTAAAAATATTTAGCTTAATGCACTCCTTGTGGAGCCAATAGGTCCATAGCTGGTACATACAGTCATCCAGAGACCCTCCCTTTCTCCACAAAATTCACGACCCATTAAACTTATTCCGTAATAACAGCTTCTGTACAAATGGAAGCCCGAGCAAACGGAGGCTGTCATGCACCTCCTGAAAAGATAGCAATTTACATAGAGACAAGAAAAATTTGTGAGGTCACTGGCAAGATGCAATCTTGGGAGAATAGTTGACCATAGGGAACTCCCAACAAGGTGGGAGGGAGGTGCCTCCCTTAATACTACTGTTTCTATCAACTTCTCGGTATGACGAAATAATCTAATAGTGGAGACCAGGGCAAGTAGCTCAAGCATCTCCAACTTTTCCAATGTTCTGGAAAGTAGGAAGAGTTACCACTGACCACTTAAGGTTCATTTAGGAGAAAGTTCAGGCTCACTAGGCAACTCTATTAACACTTCAGTTTCCTCCTTTATAAAGACACACCTCAGGAGTCTGAACTCAGTACAAAGCAAACAGGGGGCATGGACAAATCAAAGACCTACTTGAAAAAGGGAAAGTGAGTGCAGAAACTGCTTCACAATTCAGGTGGCTGGGACAAATGTCAAACTTCAGTGATGGAACACAGGTCTAACTTCTCACTGACTTTACCAAAAACAAAAGTTTCTCAATGCTTCAGTGATCCCTGTAGAGTATCAAAACCATTAACATACATTTTAAGGCCCTGCATGTGAGAGTTGCTGCCTTCACCCCTCATCCACCTTGTTCTGTTTTCAATTGAGATTATGAGTATAGAATTTGAAGGTAATGCAGGACACAGAGTTGGCCAAGTAATAGAAATGGAAGAGGCTCACATAAAACTCCATCTATATTCAGTGTTGGACAAGGTCCACCATGGAAACTGGACAAATTCCCATTTAATCCACCAGGGGCAACAATTTGCAGCTGTTTCCAGCTCCAGGCTGGAAGAAAGCACACTATAAAGATTCTAACTGCACACAAGGCCAACCAAGAACCTAACAGTCTTCTGGGTTAAACCAAACCAAATCTTAAAGTACTATATTAAGGTATTATGCTAAACACACCAGGAAACAACTCATCTAAAAGAGTGCTTTCTTCCCTTTCTTTTAAATAGCAATGCCGAGGAGGGAGCCAAGATGGCGGCATGAGTAGAGCAGTGGAAATCTCCTCCCAAAACCACATATATTTATGAAAATATAACAAAGACAACTCTTCCCAGAATAGAGACCAGAGGACACAGGACAACATCCAGACCACATCCACACCTGCGAGAACCCAGCGCATCATGAAGGGGGTAAGATACAAGCCCCAGCCCGGCGGGACCCGAGCACACCTCCCCCCAGCTCCGCGGGAGGAGAGGAGTCACAGTGGGGAGGGAGAGGGAGCCCAGGACTGCTGAACACCCAGCCCCAGCCATCCACACCAGAGCGCAGACACAGTGCATGCGTGGGGTGCTGGATACAAGGGAAACAGGGCAGCAAGACAAGTGAGCAGGTCCCTGAGAAAAGTGAGTGGCTTTTTTTTTTTTTTT